CCAATGACCCGACACTGAGTGGTCGGGCTGGGAGTCCTTTAAACAGAGAACCTACTAATGACATGATGACCAGCAGGTGTGCCGCTGTAGGAGGAGTCCTACAGAGCCACCTATTGGTCCCAAACAAATCAACTGTAACCAGTGGCGGGCCGTGCATTTCAACCTTAGGCCTTCAGTGACGTCACATACATACACAATATAGGCTCGTCAAGCAGCACTTAATTTCAGGAGCAAAAAAAAAAGCGATCATTTGTGAATACAGTACACAACAAAGGAATAAATAACAAACACTTCTGAGACAGTCCAGTCTCCTACATTTTACTGACATCTCATCATTCTGTTGGAGCTTAGCTCAAGGAAATGCCAAAATAAATTCTGTAGGGGGGCTATAGAGTTTATTTTGTGATTTCCTCGCTTGATTTTCTGTTTTGATGCATTCTTTTCAATTTTCGTAGTTTCATTGAAGTACTGTACAGGTAATCATTAATTTACGTTTTTCTGAGGCGGTCATGAACGCCTGATCTTTCTGTTAGCCTTTGCTTGAGAGTAGCTCTATCTAGTGGATGCATTGTAGATTGCGTCTTATAATGCGGTGTGTCCAATATATGAAAAAAATTACAAAATAGGCCATTGATTGAAGGTGCACCTCATAATCGAGTGCGCCTTTTAGTGTGGAAAAGACGGTAATTGATTTTCATTGTTTGATTCAGCATATCTTTGACCAAAAGAGAATTCCAATCCCACCCACCCATAAACAACTGATACTCACTCATCCCATATGACCAGCCCCAAATCGAACAGAATTAGTCGTCGTGCTCCTTTCACATCAGTGGGTCTCGGCACCGCTCTGATTGCTTGAACTTTCTCACTTTCACTATATCCAATCGGAACTTCTCTGCCTCAGACACCAGCTCGGGCTCCTTCCCCGCAAGAAAGATGACATTCCATGTCCCAAGAGTGAGCTTCTGCAGCCGGGGATCGGACCGCCAAGGTCCCTGCCTTTGGCTGCCGCCCAGCTCACATTGCACCCGATCCCTTTGGCCCCTCCCAGAGTCGGGGAGCCCATGGTAAGGGGGACCCACATTGCTTCTTCGGGCTGAGCCCGGCCAGGCCCCATTGGTGTAAGCCCGGCCACCAGGCGCTCGTCAATAAGCCCCACCTCCAGGCTTGGCTCCAGAGAGGGGCCCCGGTGACCCGCGACCTACTGATGGAAAATAAGATTAAGCAAAAGATGGGTTGGTTGGTGCAAACATCCCAATTTTTAACATCTTCAACATTTTTTACAATGGGGGAGACTCTACATATTATCATTAAAACAGAATCAGTAAGTCTGTGCTTACTGCTATTATAATATAAAGTCATGCATGGCCCTACACCCGTCAGAAATATGTCTTGCTCCCCTTCAATCCCCCCAACAATTTATTTATTCAGGTTCACAAACTTTTTTTCCTGAATTTCAAAGCTAACAATTGCCATTCTGTTCCAATATGATTCCTGTTTCCGTGTTTGTGCTGAAGCTGGACCCTGTGTGTGTTTGTGATGGCAGAAAAGGACGGGCTGAGTCTTTCAGTCATTTGCGCTTTAGGGGCACGTTTGTGAATAAATTTAGAGCCCACACTGGTTCGTGTCAAAATGGCACGAGGCATGAGGCGCTCCGACTGAGGACACGGACACGGTGCGTAAGTTCTGGCTTAGGTTAGAGTTAGCGCTATTGAAACCTGACGATGCCCGTTCATTTACAGCGCACAGGGGCCTGCTCTGTTTAATCTGAAGACCCCGAGCAAATGTAATTTACCTGGCAATACAGCTAGCTGAAATATGATTGGTTAAAAACTCTACCATAATAAATAACTTATTTATCGAGTGGCTTTCAATGTTATTTAAAATAACATTGAAAGCCACTCAACTAAGTGGAAATAATACAACGTAAAGAATACAGAGAATAATTTTGTTTACATATTTATGAAAATAAAATCACATAAATTATAAAATAACATAAAATACATAAAAGTAAATTTACTTTTCTGAGAATGTTTAGGCCAGCAGAGAAGGCCTTGCTGGCCCTCAGGGTCCGCCACTGACTGTAACATTGTTGCAGGCATCCAATTAAAACCTGTAGAATATTTGCCAAACAAGCAATAACGTTCATCAGTTTGGACATCACGTGTTGTTTTATAGAATTGTATCGTATTTTGCCGCCAAATTGTGAAAGTGAAACAGGTTCCAATAATTGAGTACAAACACATGGGCCTGTATCCATAAAGAATCCTCGGACTAAATAGCCCTGTGCGATGCAATTCTTAAAGGCCAGAATAAAGATTTGGAGTGTGGGAGGGTACGCCTACAATTCTGAGTTGATCCTTGATAAGACCTAGTCATAAATCATTTTAGCCCTGAAACTACTCCTAAACTAAAAATTGCCAGAGTGGAGAGAGTCACTTTAAAGAGGCTTAAACACACAGCAAAATGGCTCAAAGATTCAAAAGATTCCATATGTTGACGTCTTAGGGAACATCTCAGTATTGTGTAGCAACGTTAATAAAGTTTATAATGTTCATTTTAGTCTCAATCGTAATTGATTAAGATAACATATTTTAGATCTCTTTTGTGTTTGAGAGCGTATGTTTGTTTGTATTCTAGAGCAGGGTGACTGAAATACAAATTTTAAAGGGCCGCAAAGAAATATTTTAATGAGTCAAAGGTCTATTTATCGAGGTTGATATAATGTAGTCAGCCCCTGATTGTTCCCCACTTAAAGTGATGGCAGAGGTCTGTAATTCTCATCATTGGTAGACTTCAACCTAGAGAGGCTAAATGGGGAGGGGGGGGGGGGAATCATGGGAATCACTTTGTAGGAGTTTTGAAGATTTAATTGTAAATTATGGTGGAAAATAAGACACCAATTATTCCATTTTGTTTATAAACGATTGGGAAGCCCAACAAGGCCAGCTCCTAACTTCACTTCAGCTCCCCAATGAGCAACTTTAATCCCACTGGGCTTTCTCGTCAACATAACATTAAACCTAACGCAAGCTCCCGTGGCCCAAATAGCAGAAATGATCACCTGATTTGCTCAGAATATTGCAGCTACGGTTGTGTGAGTGCAGTCAACATGCCTCATTAAGCTACTGTATATTGTGACAACGTATCCACTTGTTGAGCTGCTTTCTAGTTTGATGGCGACTTAGGGTCGAAGTCAACAACCAGCCTCTAACTGCATTAAAATTGCAATCCTGCTAAATCACAGGTTTTACTCAATGTACTGGTAATGTGACTACGTATTTGTAGAACTAATTACATAACGCCGGTACATGCATTCCGCGAGTCTCCGCATGAAGTCCAACACATGCTGCTGACACTATCAAAACACGTACTGAAGGAAAAAAAAAATTAATTAGGGCGCCTCTCCCTCGCAAGTGTGATCCACCTCGTGTGTGCAAGCCTCACAATTGCACAAAATAAATGGGCGTGTTAACTGTACACTGAGCTGTGTAAAGTGAAGTGTGCCGAGTGGGGCGTCTCATCTGATCTTGGAACAGGCTGGAAGTTAGGGTGCCACAAATATCATCAGCATCCGGCTCACTAGCCACCGATTAACCTATTGTCCTGTCATAGAGTGTTGAATGTGTCTTATAGAGCAAATTGGGTCATCTCTATTTCTTTGATAAGGTTTTTCTGATGTTCTTGCTTAAAGCTTGTTGCCTTTGTGTATTTGTTCTGGTTTGGTTTAATCGCGACATCAATTACATGGTCATGGTAATTAGGTCAGGACATTTTTTTTTTTTACATTGCTTCGCAACATATTGATCGTTTTCAGCAGGCAAGAGATGATTCTCTTTTGAGACATACTCCTCTCCAGATGTGTGCCCCTCGATAATGTTTTATATACCGTATATATATTGGAGGGCATATTTGTCAACAGTAGTTCAAATCAATACTTAATAATGGTGCGAGTATGTTCAAGTGTTTTTCAATCGCTGCAAAATAGAAACCCGATTACAATATATCCTTTTGTGCATGTTGACATTGATCAAGTCCTTTGTGTATTGGATGCACTTTGTTCTCTGACAGTGACTATGGATATGAGCGCCGCGGCAATGGGAACTGCAGGCCTTCCTTTTGGTTTAATCCCTCCTCAACCTCCAAAAGCTGCAGTCTTGGTCAGAACTATCTCAACAGCACAGGGTGAGAGTCCGCTTACCAGCATACGCCATGAGAACAATGCATGCCGTTCTCCGGGGCTATTGTTTCAACGACGGCCATAAGAATTTAAAATGCACACACCAACATATATGATTCAATCTTTTAAGACGTAACGTCCACTTTAAAAATGGAGTTTGTTTGTTTGTTAGTTCATTTGTTTTTAAGCGCTGAGATTTAAGTAAAGGGATTTGGATAATCACGTTGCAAAGTAAGGCGAGATTGAATATTGAGCTGACCACATACGGTAGTGGCCGTCAGGGAGCTTCATATCACAGTTGCTCTCCAACAACTCTGTATTCTAGTAGCGCTCTTTGCATTCTGCTCCTCTTGTTAAGACCAAATAGCACGATGCAGAAATTTTTCAAGACTGCATGCGCGCATGTCAAAAACGCAAATGAATTTTCAACTTGGGTGTCTTTGTGAAGGTACCGTAAAGTGGTGTTAAATAACTGCACCAAGGGAGTAAAAGAAATGTACACAGCTCGAAAGCAACAGTGCCCCAGGAAACCTCCAAAGGGACTTTCGCTGACTACCAAAGATGGTAAACTGGCTGCCAACCTGGAGACTAATGTTACCTTCCTGGTTCATTTAGACGAGGTGAGAACACACGAAACATATATGCACTTATATTTAGCTGCTTATCATTGGATTGTCGTACTTTAAGTTGCTAAGAATCACAAGATTTGACCATCTCTAATTTATGTCACAATTTATGTGTTGGCAGAAAAAAAATAGACATTTATCTTGATTGCCGACTTTGGGGTGTTACTGATCGATGATCACATAAACATAAATGGACATAAACTAACTACTAAAGGAAACGGGACATTATTCTTGGAAAACAGGACTCGCAGCGAGAGCAACAGAAGCAGCAAACACAATGAACCAACAAAGACAGAAAGAAACCAGGGAACTAAATAACTCACGAAGACAACCTGGACAAGACACAAGAGGCTAAGGGGGATGATTGGGAGACACAAGAAAAAAAACAAGCAAAAAAAAAACAAAACAAATAAAAACACCAAGCAGGACAAGGCATGAACCACAAGAAAACATGAGACAAAACCAAATACAAATCGAAACAACAATATGACAAATCATTTTTTAAAATTACACCAGTATTTAAACAAATAAGAACGGGATTTCAAGGTCACGCCATGGTTTTTCAATTGCATTCAGGCTCTAGATATTTTTATTCAAGGCAGATTACACTGGTCAAAAGCAAGTCACAGGGCACCGATAGAGAACAAAATAAGTCACAATAAAGAGAGTAATAATAACTTTTTAATCTCTGCATGAGGATATATCAAGTCATTTGATCAATAGATTTTTCACTGCAATCACATTTTGTAGTTTGAGTGATACTTGACATGTGTAAACACATTAGGTTTCCATACATACATGGTTATTTTTTCTTTCACAAAAAAAAAAAAAAGAGAAAAATAATTCCCTCCAAAGGCTCACGTAAAACAAAACAAAATGGGCATGCATTGGTAACATAAGAGGGTCACGGGCTTTATGTGGTTATAAAAAGCAATTTAGTTTAAACCACATATTAATTAGCATTCACTTGAATCTTTTTTTGTTTTTGTTTTTTTTTAACTGCATCTATCCCAAGACCTTTGCTGACTTGTGAAAAATAATGCTATTTTTCTTGCTATGCTATCTTTGATTTGGTTCGCACATGAGCCTACAAAACTGAAAAAAAGAAATGCTCTACACTACAGCATGTTGTTGGATATGATTAAAAGGATATGGAGTTCTCGCTCGGATATCGGACAACTGAATTATAAAAGGTTCGATAAGATGACAAGAAACCTTGATGGACAAGGTGAATACCAAGTCTCCTATTTAAGTCTTCTAAAGCCTCTTCATGGAGATTCCAAAGATTCAATCCAAAGTTGTGTGTGTGTGTGTGTGTGTGTGTGTGTGTGTGTGTGTGTGTGTGTGTGTGTGTGTGTGTGTGTGTGCGTGTGTGTGTTGCCAATGCGTGTCCTTTTGTTCAGTACTGAAACTGCACCCACGATAGCCGGTCATCTTTGCTGAATGCATTTTGACCGCCGGCCAATCACGAACCTAATTTTCCGTTGCCGTGGCTTCTCAATCAATTGGAATATTGTGGAAAAAACCTCATTCATTTCAGTCGCTCAACTGAAAAACTGAAGCTAAAATTCGCTCCACAGAGAAGGAAATATTTCAAGAGTTTATATTTCAATTTTGATTCATATCTACTGAACGCCCAAAAGTCATGATGTCAACAAACCTGTATATTACATAAGAAACAAAAAAATGTTAAATATAAATAATGCAAGGATTGTTCTTCCGTAAAATATGTTCATATGTGTTCAATGAATATGCTTAAGATGATTTTCACATTTTGAATTGAAGTGCTGAGAGAATGACGCTGAAGCAGCAAGTGAATTTCTCATTTTTACTGCCACCATTATACTGACTGTCAGAAATGTCAAGAGAAATTCATTTGTTGAGAGATGTAACTATTAGGCAATACACTGAAAAAGAGACCCCAAACATTTTCTTGCTGGATGTTACATGCGGTTGTAAACATGATGTAGGTCAACTTTGTGGCTGTCTGTTAGATAATTAGAGAAGGAGTTCCACTCATCAAAGCTTACATGGAGACTATATGAGATCATGATGTTGGTGCTGTACTGTATTTAACGAGTAACACATTGACTGACCAATGTTTACCAGCCAATGATGGTAAAAAATATAGTGTCTCTGTGCAAATGAGGGAGGGCGTGACAACGTCCGCAAACGAACCAGATGTTGTGTCGAACCCGCAAACACAGACTCAGATAAACTACGAAACAAAAATATATATTGATAGAAAACAAAGGACAGACAAAGTACAAATAGAAATCGCTGGCAACACGGAGCCAGGAAAACCAAACACGAACAAAAGACCCTTGCCAATGGCAAGGTAAAATTGACACCCTCAAGTACACAAAACAAAATGGCAATTATCCAAACACAGAAACTTAAATCATTCGAGAATGACTTGAAAACCAAAATACATACAAAGCAAATTCTCATCACTTGAGCAATATAGCAACAAAGGTCAATAATGTGACAAAGCATGACATAAGTTGTCATATTTCGCGATGATGACGAGACACAGGTGCGCTGCTGGGTGGAACGCCCTCCACTCCAGCTGGAGCTGACACAAAAAGAAACAGCAAGACCATGACAGAAGCTAAAGAAAACGCAAATGACAAGAAATTTGAGGTAAATAGAATCCAGCATCATTTTAGAATCCTGATTTCACTCTTCTGCGATTGGCTGGCAACCAGTTCAGTGTGTCCCCAGCCTACTGCCCGAAGACAGCTGGGATAGGCTCCAGCACCCCGCGCGACCCTTGTGAGGATAAAACGGATCGGAAAATGGATGGATGGATTTCATTCTTCTCCCTTCACACTTTTTCCATTCATGCCTTGATCATGTAAGTTTGACGCACTGCTGACTGAAGTTGGCCTTGTGTATCCAACCCTCGCTGTATATTGGGTTCCACTGACACATACGCGCATACAGACAAACACAAGAATGATATTTAGAGAGCGATTGGGCATTCGCATAACGTTTAGTGAATGTCCAAATGGCTGATAGGACAAGAGCTTGGACACATCATGTACAACGAGGAGCGAAGTGACATCAGAGGCGCCACGCTTGTTTGCATGCCAACTTATTACAGTTCCTAGCAATGCCTGCAGTGTCATATCTTTTTCACATCCAATTTTTAGGCAGTGGGAAAATGAAATATCCCCAGAACACTCGACCAAACCTCTTCAGCTTCACGCATGGACCCCCCTGCCCCCCCCACACACCCACCCACACACACATTCAACGTACACAATGCGTGCAGATCATCACATAGTGCCAGATGTGAATCCCAGAGGAATCTATAAATGCAGTAGAAGACTCCCCCACCATACGAAGATCACATGGAGAGAGGTTGCACATTTACAGCTCTGCATTCATGCATTCGCACCTGCTTTGATGAGCAGTATGTGCCGCCTAATATTAGAAATATTGACATCCAGGATTTATTTTGTTGCTTGTGCGAGTGCCCGAAACCATCCATCCATCCATCCATTTTCTGATCCACTTATCCCCACAAGGGTCGCTGGGCATGCTGGAGCCTATCCCAGCCATCTCCGGGCAGGAGGCGGGGGACGCCCTCAGCCAGTTGCCAGCCAATCGCAGGGCACACGTAGACGAACAACAATCCACGCTCACACTCTCGCCTCGGGACAATTTAGAGTGGTCCATTAACTTGCCATGCATGTTTTTGGAATGTGGGAGGCAACCAGAGTACCCGGAGAAAATCCATGCAGGCAGGGGGAGAACATAACATCCAAAGATCATTTTATTTAGCTTTTAATTTTTGCATATACTCTTAACTGTGAAAATACATGATCTCTCCACCTGTCTCTCAGTTTCCCTCTCTCCATTTGTCAATTTACCTTGATGGTTAGCATGATCACTAGTCCCGTCTGCTGCTCCTTAGCCTTTCAACTTATCTCCGTATGGCATGTCAAGTTTTTTTTTTAAATTAACTTCTTGAAACATGACTGGTAATGGCATATACTGTAACTGTTCTGTGTCAGCAAATTCAAACAGCTACACAGTATCTTGTTTTGTCTCATCTTGTTAGATGGTCTGCTGTTGAATGTTAGTGAATAACGTGTCAGTAATCTTTGTGGGATTGGGACAAAGTGGCAGCACTAATATGACACATACGGCACTTACCGCTTACTCATTTGTTCTTTTCTTCATCCTCTTATTTTATATATTTTTTCTTCTTTTTGTGTTCCCTGGTCCACAAGTTTAAATGAGAATGAACACAATCCAAAAATAAAACAGGAACATGACTTTTTGTGTGTGTCTGTGTGTGTGTGTGTGTGTGTGTGTGTGTGTGTGTGTGTGTGTGTGTGTGTGTGTGTGTGTGTGTGTGTTGGGTGCATGCGTTGGAAGAGGAAAGTAAAGATATTTACATAAAAATGTCAGCAATAGAAATACAAAGTAGGGTGAAAAATAATTACTCGATTTATGCATAGATACTACTACTTCAAGTAAGGTAATGCAGTATTTTTACTTCATTACTTCACACGTCTGGTTACATTAGTGTATTATTATTATAGCCTCGGTTATCCTGGATTATTCGGGTTACCAGGACTATATCTTAATAATCAGCCAATATAGTAAGAAGTTATTACATTATTAACCAAAAGTTAGTACGTTATAAGCCCAGAATTTTTATTACATTATTGGTCAGTTAGATTATGGCCCTGTAAAATTTTAAAAAGGGCAAATTTATTATGTTATGGGCTTCTACACGTTTTGAATTGTTTTTTTTTTTGGTTTTTTTTTTTTTACATTATGGGCCTTTACAAACTATTTTATAGGTGCAGCCACTTCTGTGCGCTGGCTGAGAGTTATTCACTTGCTATCTCCCTGCACTTTGTTCTTGTTTCTATCATCTCAGTATTTGCTGCGTGTTTTATGTCTGCAGTTCTTCATGAGTGCTTACTGTTTTTTTATTCATCTCCTGTTTTTCTTGTTAACATGAGTACATGATTTTTATTTATTTATTTATTTATTTTTGGGTGGTGGGGGGGTGCAGTGATTTTTGTGTTCTATATTGTCCTTGTTTTTTGCAGTGGGACTGTTCATTAGTTAGTTAATAGCTAAATTGTGTATTGCTGTATCTTCTGCAGTGACCTTTGGTTGATTAGCATTCAGTTATTTCATTCTTGGTACCCACGAATTGTGCATGTGTGTTTTGTGGTCCAGTGATCCCTCAAAATCTGTAGGTTCCTGTACGGGGGGACCTACAGAGTGCATGTAGAAGTAAATGTTTGTAGTAAATAACATTACTTAATGCTATATATATATATATATATATATATATATATATATGAACTTACAGGATTTGATATGAACTTACAGGGTTTGATGGGAAGGCGAACCCATGAGAGCATTTCAACATGCCTTCAATAGATTCATATAAGCTAATAACTGTTAAGTTTTGTCATGATGACATATTTTACACCCCTTTTGTGTCGTCGTTGTTTTCATTTGCTTTTTCTGACCTTTTGTTTTCCCCTTTTTTTCATTGTGCCAATTTAGATTAAATCTAATAAACCTAAATTATATACTTTGTCCTCTGTACGAAGGACACAGATTAGTCTTGTCTTCAATTATTGCCAATTACAAGCGTGATTGCGTGATTCCACAGATTTTATCAGCAAGAACCGAATGACATTTTCTCTCCCCGAAAAGAGCAGCAGATATGGTGCATATGTTTTTTTACTGCATCAGATATTGTACCATCGCGTCCTGCTACACGTCGTGATATGGGTCCACGTAGTGAAGACGAGCAAAATCCCCCACAGCAAATTCTGTGAGGTGCTTTCATTGCATCCGCAATGTGCCATATTCCTGGTCGGCAATTGCTGATCCATTAACACGTAACTTTGGTTTACACAGTTTGTCATTCCAACAGTGTAGGGAAAATTAGTGATGGGAGAGCATAGCCAGTTCTGTGTAGGAATTCTGTGTCCTTCAAAATGACCTCCGGTTGTCTTCTTCTGGGTGAGCATGTGTCAAAATATATTAGATGTCACATGTGTCACAAAAATTCAGTTCATCCCATTTCAATTTCCACAAGCCGTTTTGCCCTCTGTGAATTTCATTTCCTCGTGTTTGCCTTGTTTTTAAATGTGCTCGTAAAATGTACATACACTCTCGTGTCCTTCTACATGAAAGATAAGATACAATATCAGCAGCATCCTACTGTATTTTGAATTGTGAAATGACACTTGTGCTTTCTTTCAGGGTGATTCTATCCGGACTAACATTCAACTTGATTTTGGCGATGGCATAGCTGTGTCATATTCGAACCTCAGCTGGGCTGAAGAGGGCATCAAACACGTCTACAAGTCTGCAGGGATATTTAGTGTCACAGCTCTGGCAGAAAACTCGCTGGGTTACGACACAACAACACTCTATCTGCATGTCACATGTAAGTCTCCACATTGATGAAAAGCACATCTTCACTATTGCATTTGTAAATTACACGCATGATCAAGTTTCACTTGCGTATCATTGAACAGCATACAAATGAATGAGTGTGTATAAACAATAAAATTAAAAAATCCTCGTCTCACCCCTCGGGTAGTGTCCGTTCCCCATTCAGCTCGGGTCCTCTACAAGAGGCCAGGAAGCTTGAGGGTTCTGCGCAGTATCTTTGCTGTTCCCAGCATTGCGCTTTTCTGGACTGAGATGTCCGATGTTGTTCCCGGGATCTGTTGCAACCACTCATCTAGTTTGGGGGTCACTGCCCCGAGTGCTTCGACCACCATAGGCACGACTGTCACCTTTACCTTCCAGACTCTCTCCAGCTCCTCTCTGAGCCCTTGGTATTTCTCCAGTTTCTCGTGTTCCTTCTTTCTGATGTTTCCATCACTTGGGACCGCTACATCCACTACAACGGCTTTCCTCTGCCCTTTATCTATGATCACGATATCTGGTTGGTTCGCCATTACCATCTTGTCAGTCTGGATCTGGAAGTTCCACAGGATCTTCGCTGTGTCATTCTCCACCACCTTCGGAGTTGTTTCCCATTTTGACCTTGGGGTTTCCAATCCATACTCCACGCAGATGTTTCGGTAGACTATGCCAGCCACCTGGTTATGACGTTCCATGTAGGCTTTCCCTGACAACATCTTACACCCTGCAGTTGTGTGTTGGATCGTCTCAGTCTCGTATTTGCACAACCTACACCTTGGGTCTTGTCTGGTGTGGTATATATGGGCTTCAATGTTTCTGGTGCTCAGGGTCTGCTCCTGAGCAGCCAGGATGAGTGCCTCTGTGCTGTCCTTCAGGCCGACCCTCTCTAGCCACTGATAGGACTTCTTGAGATCAGCCACTTCCGTTATGGTCCGGTGGTACAACCCGTGTAGGGGCTTGTCCTCCTATGATGGCCCCTCTTCCAGCATCCTCTTTTCCTGTCCAACTGCTCATTAACACTTTTTTCTAATCAGCCAATCACATGGCGGCAACTCAGTGCATTTAGGCATGTAGACACGGTCAAGACAATCTCCTGCAGTTCAAACCGAGCATCAGTATGGGGAAGAAAGGTGATTTGAGTGGCTTTGAACGTGGCATGGTTCTTGGTGCCAGAAGGGCTGGTCTGAGTATTTCAGAAACTGGTGATCTACTGGGATTTTCACGCACAACCATCTCTAGGGTTTACGGAGAATGGTCCGAAAAAGAAAAAATATCCAGTGAGCGGCAGTTCTGTGGGCGGAAATTCCTTGTTGATGCCAGAGGAAAATGGCCAGACCGGTTCGAGCTGATAGAAAGGCAACAGTGACTCAAATAACCACCCGTTACAACCAAGGTAGGCAGAAGA